AGAACAAATGGAAAGAGAGAAAATGTATTGAGTGTGAGTGAGTGAGAAAACCGTTTAAATCGATAACGCAGACACACGCATACAATATACGGAAGCACGCACATGGACGCACATATGGGTGACTAACAAAAGACATATACAATCTACGGGGGACACGTAAACAGAGACAGACGAAGAGTTATTTGCCCACAAGTACCAAATTACGTCACTCTCCTCCGACAAGTTCAGCTGAGTGAGTCACAATATTTCCGGACACAAACGATGACTTAACCAGAGCCGAGCAACAGATTATGTAAATTCTTCTGGCATAAGTAAACATGGAAAGCCAGACGGGCAGGAAACAGGCATTCGAAGTTACAGTCTTATGGGGAAGTTTTGAAGTTTGTTGTGATATCGTGTACTGATGTGTGTGTGTGTGGTAGGGGGGAGAGAGGTAAGGAGGGAGGGAGAGAAGTAGGGAGGGAAGTAAGAAGAGAGGTAAGGGTGGAGGGAGGGAGGGAGGGAGGTAAGAAAGGAGGAAGGGAGGGAGGTAAGAAGGGAGGGAGGGAGGTAAGAGAGAAGAGAAGTAGGTAAGGAATAAGGGAGGGAGGTAGGAAGGGAGGAAGATAAGAAAGAAGGTAAGGAAGGAGGGAGGGAGCTACACTGAAGTATTGGCTCGTGTTATGATATGAATTTCGCCCTGATACTATCTACAGGGAATGTACTGGTGTATCTGTGTATGGAGAGATGAAGGCAGAGAAGGGGGTATAGATTAGAGAGAGAGAGAGAGAGAGAGAGAGAGAGAGAGAGAGAGAGAGAGAGAGAGAGAGAGAGAGAGAGAGAGAGAGAATATGAAAGGAAAGCAAATCTGTTGTCATTTCCACCCTCATAAAATAATGTACCTTGATAATCTCAGTCATCCCTTACTAATAGTTACAAAAATAACGTCTTTATTTACACGTTGAGTAAATGAGAATAGATTTGGTCGCCTTATCAACCTTCCTCTCTCTCTCTCTCTCTACGTCTGTAATGGGATTTCTCTTCATTAACATTAACATGCATTAACATGTCGTCTGCTGCTAACATAATACTCTGTGATAATTGAACCAGTGATCTCTCTCTCCAACATAAGCTAGTGTGGTGTTGTGTGTTAAAGTGTGGTGTTATGGGTGTAGTGTGGTGTTGTGTGATGTTATGGGATATAATTGTAGTTTCTATGTGGTGTAGTATAGTGTTTAGATGTTCTTTAATCGTATCTTTGTACCAATCCTCCAGCACCAGAGGAAACACCTTATCTGGCGTAAATCTTCTCCTCTTGACACAAACTCCACGGCATCTATTTTTTTTTTAACTGCATCTCTTTCCCTTCGCCAACCAGGAAATGGCTCCTGTCACTGGGATCAGGAACTAGGGGAGGAGGAAGGTAGGACAAGAGAAGGGGGTAAAAGAATGTTTTGTTTTTTTGTGAATAGGGGAAAAAAAGTAATTCAGAATCTCATGATTATAGAATGTGACGGAGAGGTAATGAACTAAGTCTGGTGTGTGTGTGTGCGTGCGTGCGTGCGTGCGTGCGTGCGTGAGAGATAGAGATATACAGAGCTACTGGTCTCTAAAGAATACTATAATTCTGAGAGATAGTCGGCAAGAAAATTCCAATAACGTTACACCCAACCCAAGACAACCTTCCCATCACCATCCAGCGAGTGAGACCCAGGCCCAAACTGTGTAGTGAATTCTGTTCTCTTGGACACGCCTTCTCCCCCTTTATCCGACTCCTTCGGCTTCATCTATCCTTCATAGCTTCATCCTTACGCTGTCTTTGAAGGATGGACACCCAATTCATGGTAAGCCACACAGTCTCGGGGTCGATATTTCCTCCTTTTCTTCCCCTTTTCCTCACTCATCTCGTCTTCCTACAAATCTTCGCTCTCCTCCCCATCCCACCTTCCACACCCATATAATCCTCGTCAATCATAAGCTCATCCTCAGTCCTTTACACGAGGAAATACGGTCGAAGTCTCCAGGCTCTCTCTCTCTCTCTCTCTCTCTCTCTCTCCACCACTTGCCTTCTACCTAGGATACTCAACATCATCTTTCTCTTGCATTAAAACTCCACCAGCTCCATAATCACTAGCATCTACATACAATTTAAACGGTTTATCATAATTTACAGTAAAAAGTATGGGTGCACTTATAAGTATCTGTTTCAATTCTTTAAACGTGTCATCACAATGAACACTCCACACAAATTTAACTTTCTTTGGCAACAGATTGGTTAATGGTAAAGCAATGGTTGAAAAGTTCTTACAAAACCTACGATAATATCCACTCATACCCAGAAATCTTAATAATTCTCTTCTATTTGTAGGTGCAAGAAATTTCACAGTACTTTCCACCTTAGCATTAATTGGTTTGACACTTCCCTGACCAACAATATAACCTAGATATTCTACAGCAAATTCACTCTTCACAAGGTTTACAGTCAAGTTTGCTTGATTCAGTTTGTTAAATACTTCTCTAATTAAATACAAATTTTCTTCCCAAGTTTTTTAATACAGTACAATATCATCTATACACACAGAACAACCTTTAACATCATACAATACTTGATTAACTAATCTTCGGAAAGTACTACCGCTGTTTTCATACCAAAGGGTAACACTTTATGCTGATATAAACCTTCCATAGTCACAAATGAAGACATTTCTTTTGCTCTTTTAGTCAGTGGTACTTCCCAATATCCTTTCAACAAATCCATCTTAGTTACAAATTTAGCATCTCCTATTTGGTCAGTACAATCATCCACTCTAGGAATAGGATATGAGTCAGCTTTGGTTACATTGCTGTATTTACTTTTCTGTAATCAGTACAAAATCTATATGAAATACCATCAGGTTTAGTCACCAATACACAGAGTGAACTCCAAGGGCTGTTACTTCTTTCAGTCATATCATTATCAACCATATACTGTACTTCTTGTCTCATTATCTCTCTCATCTTAGGAGTCACTCTATATGGGTGTTGCTTAATGGGTGTTGTATTCTCAGCCTCAACATCATGCTGTAATACCTCAGTTCTCCAAGGAACATCAGAAAACAAAGGCCTAAACTCGTGTATAATTTGTATGATTTGATTTCTCTTCTCAGTTCCTAAATGATCAAGTTTCTTTTCTAAATTATTCATCACACCTGAATTATTTAACAGTTTATTTTCACATCTCCCCAACTTCATATCTTCACTTTCATCTATCATCTTTTCATCATCAGACCTGACACATAGACAATTCACCTTGTTATTCATATCATTTTCTGTAGAGTTTCTATCATAATATGGTTTTATCATGTTTACATGCAAAGTTGTGTTTATGTGCTTATGTGCATTTTTCTAGGGGGGGGGGGTCCATAGCTTTCACCAGATTCCCAAAGGGGTCCGTGACTCAAAAAAGGTTAAGAACCACTGCACTAGAGGATGTATAGTCAGTCCATAGGCTAACAACCTCCTGACAGCTGACAGGTGTTTATTTCAATACCACTGTTCCCATTAAAACTGGTTTGATCAAAACACAGCTTCAAAATTACAACAAAATATAATAAATATGTGTTCAAAAGGCCGCAAATCAATTCACTCAGAATAATGTTACCTCCACCAAACACAATACTCTCTCACTGCTATAATATTCTTTAGACTATAATGAACATATTGCACTTTAGTTAACACCACAATTATCCATGATTGCCTAGAAAATAATAGATAAATGTGCACCACACAAGTTTGACCCTCCTATCCTCAACCTAGCTACAGAGAGAGCCACCAGAACCAAAACAATGTTCCAATGCTTTCTTGTTTCATCAACATATAATTTCTAATTCCTTTTATGCTTCACAACTGCTTCTTACAGTCTTTCTTAACTGTATAAAAAATAAGAATACATTCTACAAAGTTTACATAATGAAACAAATACTAGTATACATACTTATATAAAATAATCAAGAACTTTTTCAAAGTCTTTACCATGGGCTTTGAAATTCGATTCTAAAGAAAAACGGGAAACAACAGAAACTAAATACAATAGGGGGACGACCGTAACATTATGTTATGTTAGGCTAGGTTAGGTTAGGTTAGGTTAGGTTAGGTTAGGTTAGGTTAGGTCCCAGTGATAATTAGTTAACATTGTCTTAGTTTAGATACTTATCTTTTGTGAAATTCTTTTGGTTTGCTAGATGTATTACCTACGCTCACTATATATATTTAATAGGTTGTTACCTACGCTCACTGTATATATTCATTAGGTTTAGTGAAATATAGATAAAGAGTAATAGTTTTGGATATTATTGACTATACATTGATATGTATAATATGTATTAAAGTAAGGTATATCATAGGAGTGAAAGGAAGATATTGTTTGTTATTGTAATGAAATGTTAATGGTGGTGTTTACTTTCTTATGTGAAGTTCATTTTGGTACATTTTAAGTGGCTATTTGAGAACGACTAGTTTTAGTAAGAAAAGTCCTGTTATTTATAAAAAATAAAAATAAACATTATTTTATTTTATTTTTTACATTTTTTATTTTTTTTTATTTTTTTTTCTATTTATTTATTTTTTTTTCTTTTATTTTTTTTTTTGCCTCACTCGGCCTCTTCTTCGTTTGGGACGGCTCTTGGGTATTTATTTAAGGCCGCTATCCCCCCAAACGTGCTTATAAGCATTTGGGTATTATTTGTTGTGTTGGGTATCGCCATTAACTCAGTCCCCTCGGGACAGTTTTCTGTAAAATAGGCGAGTTCAGGGGACTCGTCCCATAGCACGACAACTTTGACGGCACCATCCTCCATGGCCGCTCGAACTTCATCACCAAAGCAGACCATGTCCGGTTCATCGACCCTGAGTTTTTCAAATATGGAACTGAGGACAGTGTTAGACTTTTCCAAAAGCATGTGCTGGCGGAGGTCCCGTGTGCCATTGATGGCCTCCCTCAGACCTTGACGGCCGGAGTATGAGGTGTTTATTACAGATCTTACAGCACTCTTCAAGAGCTGAGGGAGACGCTCAACCAATTGGTCCTTCAGCTGACCAGGACCCCCTACCACCAGGGCCTGAACCTGCACGGTCGCCTTATTTTCATTCAGAAAATAATCTTCGCTGAGAGCAATTACTTTCTTCACCAGCAATTGTCTCTTTTCCAGGCGGATGCGCTGGAACCTGGGAGCGGACTGGCCACCTCTGCCGTGCTTTTTTGGAATGTCCACGTTCTCATGGTGGTGGACTTTTAGTCCATTTTCAGAGAGCGTTCCAAGGGCAACCGCTGACCCATCGATGACGATGTAGCCAACGCCTCCCTCTTGGGAGATGAGTAATTGGTGCAGTGAGTGCGTGGAGAATGTCTTGCTGACATCGTATTTAAATTCTTGAACTGGTTGAGGAGGTGTTAACGTCCGGCGAAGGCGACTCACCTCGCCGGTTGCTTTGTTGAGAACTGATTGGCCGTAAAACACTAAAAGCCCATGGGGTGGCATGGCATTGACTGTGGATAACATATCCACAGCGCTCTTCAGTGCTTCTTGCACTGAAGAGCGGTTGGAAACGGACTTTATGTTGGCCGCGCGGCTTTGTTCATCCTTGATTCTATTTTTGACGAGTATCAGGGAGGAAGATGATGGGAGGTGAAGGCTTAATACAGACGAAGTCCGGAGAGCCTCCAGATTCTCCAACTCCTTGAGAGCGTCTCTGAATTGGACAAGTTGAACCCGATCCATTTTGAAAGTAATAATAATATTAATATCTGGTCCGTCTGGTGACCTAAAGTTGAAATTTAGGGAGAGATTACAAAATATAAAAAAGTGAGGTTGGAATTTTGTTCCTCAGCTTCATACTGAACATGTTATAGTGTAGTAGTAGCAGTAGAGGTTGAGATGCTGTAGTAATATAGTGAACACATTGTAGTAGCAGTAGAAATGCTGTAGCAAGATAGTAAAGACATTATAGTAATAGTAGTAGTAGTAGTTGTGATGCTGTAGTAATATAGTAAAGACATTGTAGTAGTAGTAGTTAAGATGCTTTAGTAATATAGTAAAGACATTGTAGTAGTAGTAGTTAAGATGCTGTAGTAATATAGTAAAGATGTAGTAGGAGTAGTAGTTAAGATGTTGTAGTAGTAGTAGTTAAGATGTTGTAGTAGTAGTAGTTAAGATGCTGTAGTAGTAATAGTTAAGATGCTATAGTAATATAGTAAAGACATTGTAGTGGTAGTAGTTAAGATGTTGTAGTAATATAGTAAAGATGTTGTAGTAGTTAAGATGTTGTAGTAGTAGTAGTTAAGATGTTGTAGTAGTAGTAGTTAAGATGTTGTAGTAGTAGTAGTTAAGATGTTGGAGTAGTAGTAGTTAAGATGTTGTAGTAGTAGTAGTTAAGATGTTGTAGTAGTAGTAGTTAAGATGTTGTAGTAATATAGTAAAGATGTTGTAGTAGTTAAGATGTTGTAGTAGTAGTAGTTAAGATGTTGGAGTAGTAGTAGTTAAGATGTTGTAGTAGTAGTAGTTAAGATGTTGTAGTAGTAATAGTTAAGATGCTATAGTAATATAGTAAAGACATTGTAGTGGTAGTAGTTAAGATGCTGTAGTAATATAGTAAAGATGTTGTAGTAGTTAAGATGTTGTAGTAGTAGTAGTTAAGATGCTGTAGTAGTAATAGTTAAGATGCTATAGTAATATAGTAAAGACATTGTAGTAGTAGTAGTTAAGATGCTGTAGTAATATAGTAAAGATGTTGTAGTAGTTAAGATGTTGTAGTAGTAGTAGTTAAGATGCTGTAGTAGTAGTAGTAGTTAAGTGTCCTGCATGGCAGTGAACAGTGACATTACCCACATGAATCTGACCTCTATATATACTGTATATAGCTGTTAATGAATATGATGTATTTCTTTATGTATGAACCTCCGTCCTGCGTGGCAGTGAGAAGTGATACCACCCTCAGTGTCAAGACCTGACTGAATTACTCATAATAGGCAAACTGTACTACAAGCTCTGCCAATAAATTTGTTAAACTAAAAAAAAACATCTTCACCCAGTCCTCACTCCGGCCACAAGATTACCTCCAGTTTTTTTTTCAAGTTTAGAAGCTCCAAAAGTTTTGACCTCCAGTCGTCTGTCGGGAGATTTATAGCCAGAAAACAACCTCAGGTCCTCTCAGCGTCTCCTGCCGGGGTCGCTGGTTCGTGGAACATAACTTAGGGTAAATGTGTCCGACTGCCACAGCACTCGTGTCGGCCTCTCTAATGATATCCTATTTGTCACATGCCCTCGGGGCGGCGTGTCCGGTGTCAAGAATCTCCCGGAGAAGGGATGGTTAGATATATGACCTCCCTAGAGATTTGATGCAGATGAGATGGACTTGTTGACTGCAAGATTCACCGAGAGGACTGGTGGACGTAAGATATCTCAAGGCTTCGATAATTTTTCATTTTTCCTCTTCGTGTGAGGCGGGGGGGAAGGGGGATTTTCTTTGTAATTTTGTGTGTGTGTGTGTGTGTGATTTGAAGTTGCTCATGCGCCTTAACTGTAATACTTTCATTTGTATATAACATGTAGTACATCAGTGTCAATAGACGTGTTATATCAATGTAAATACATTCATACGTTTGATAATATTGCAATTAGTATTCCAACACGTTCCCACTAAAGCACACGTCAGCAATAATGAGTATCACCAATAAATCTGTCATTCTTGTTTACAATATTTGAAAGAGCGAGTGTTCGTAGATCAAAGAGCTGAATATGTTATGTGATACAGACGAAAAAGGACATTGGGGGAATGGTATTCACCTCAATACACTCAATACACAAGTTCATTTAATGTATATTGTATTAATTTGGGGGGAATTTTACCCAATTTTCACCGTCTTGATTAAAAATTTACAAAAACAATTCATGAGGACGATTATATTGATGATTGAATGTGAAGTTAAGTGTACAGGAGAGACCAAATAAGATAACCTAAAGAGGGAAAGGAGAGCAAAGGGAAGATGGGGCAGGTGGAAGGAACAGGAAGGAGGGAGGAGAGAGGAAGAGAACGGGGGTAAAGTAGGAGGAGGAGGACTGAGGGTGAGAAAAACGAATGATGAAGAAAAAGGAAGGGGGATGCGGAAAGAGAAAGAAGGAAAAGGGTAATGGAAAGAAGTGGATATTGAAGGATTGGAGGAGGAAGAGTGTAGATAATAGAGAGAATAAGAAGGTGAGAAATGAGGAGAAACGAGGGAGAAAAACGAGGAGAAGACGGGGAAGGAAGAGGAGGAAATGAAGAAAGGGAAAAGAAGATAATAGCCCCGCCCTCGCCTCCTGCTCTTCCACATCCTCCTCCTCCACATCCTCCTCCTCCTCTACTTCATACCCCTCCTCCTCTATCTCCTACCCCCCTTCCTCCTCTTCCTTCATAATCAGAGTCAGGCGGGAGAATGGGAGACATAGTGTGTAAGCATCTTCCCGTGGCCACTTAAGTATTGAGAAGTGAGGTGTAAGTGGATGCTGCTGGCGGAGTTTGATAGTCTATGCTTCTTCTCGTCAAGTGGGAGAGAGAGAGAGAGAGAGAGAGAGAGAGAGAGAGAGAGAGAGAGACATAAGAACAAATGGAAAGAGAGAAAATGTATTGAGTGTGAGTGAGTGAGAAATACCGTTTAAATCGATAACGCAGACACACGCATACAATATACGGAAGCACGCACATGGACGCACATATGGAGTGACTAACAAAAGACATATACAATCTACGGGGGACACGTAAACAGAGACAGACGAAGAGTTATTTGCCCACAAGTACCAAATTACGTCACTCTCCTCCGACAAGTTCAGCTGAGTGAGTCACAATATTTCCGGACACAAACGATGACTTAACCAGAGCCGAGCAACAGATTATGTAAATTCTTCTGGCATAAGTAAACATGGAAAGCCAGACGGGCAGGAAACAGGCATTCGAAGTTACAGTCTTATGGAGGAAGTTTTGAAGTTTGTTGTGATATCGTGTACTGATGTGTGTGTGTGTGGTAGGGGGGAGAGAGGTAAGGAGGGAGGGAGAGAAGTAGGGAGGGAAGTAAGAAGAGAGGTAAGGGTGGAGGGAGGGAGGGAGGGAGGTAAGAAAGGAGGAAGGGAGGGAGGTAAGAAGGGAGGGAGGGAGGTAAGAGAGAAGAGAAGTAGGTAAGGAATAAGGGAGGGAGGTAGGAAGGGAGGAAGAGAAGAAAGAAGGTAAGGAAGGAGGGAGGGAGCTACACTGAAGTATTGGCTCGTGTTATGATATGAATTTCGCCCTGATACTATCTACAGGGAATGTACTGGTGTATCTGTGTATGGAGAGATGAAGGCAGAGAAGGGGGTATAGATTAAAGAGAGAGAGAGAGAGAGAGAGAGAGAGAGAGAGAGAGAGAGAGAGAGAATATGAAAGGTAAGCAAATCTGTTGTCATTTCCACCCTCATAAAATAATGTACCTTGATAATCTCATTCATCTCCTTACTAATAGTTACAAAAATAACGTCTTTACTTACACGTTGAGTAAATGAGAATAGATTTGGTCGCCTTATCAACCTTCCTCTCTCTCTCTCTCTCTCTCTCTCTCTCTCTCTCTCTACGTTTGTAATGGGATTTCTCTTCATTAACATTAACATGCATTAACATGTCGTCTGCTGCTAACATAATACTCTGTGATAATTGAACCAGTGATCTCTCTCTCCAACATAAGCTAGTGTGGTGTTGTGTGTTAAAGTGTGGTGTTATGGGTGTAGTGTGGTGTTGTGTGATGTTATGGGATATAATTGTAGTTTCTATGTGGTGTAGTATAGTGTTTAGATGTTCTTTAATCGTATCTTTGTACCAATCCTCCAGCACCAGAGGAAACACCTTATCTGGCGTAAATCTTCTCCTCTTGACACAAACTCCACGGCATCTATTTTTTTTTTAACTGCATCTCTTTCCCTTCGCCAACCAGGAAATGGCTCCTGTCACTGGGATCAGGAACTAGGGGAGGAGGAAGGTAGGACAAGAGAAGGGGGTAAAAGAATGTTTTGTTTTTTTGTGAATAGGGGAAAAAAAGTAATTCAGAATCTCATGATTATAGAATGTGACGGAGAGGTAATGAACTAAGTCTGGTGTGTGTGTGTGCGTGCGTGCGTGCGTGCGTGCGTGCGTGAGAGATAGAGATATACAGAGCTACTGGTCTCTAAAGAATACTATAATTCTGAGAGATAGTCGGCAAGAAAATTCCAATAACGTTACACCCAACCCAAGACAACCTTCCCATCACCATCCAGCGAGTGAGACCCAGGCCCAAACTGTGTAGTGAATTCTGTTCTCTTGGACACGCCTTCTCCCCCTTTATCCGACTCCTTCGGCTTCATCTATCCTTCATAGCTTCATCCTTACGCTGTCTTTGAAGGATGGACACCCAATTCATGGTAAGCCACACAGTCTCGGGGTCGATATTTCCTCCTTTTCTTCCCCTTTTCCTCACTCATCTCGTCTTCCTACAAATCTTCGCTCTCCTCCCCATCCCACCTTCCACACCCATATAATCCTCGTCAATCATAAGCTCATCCTCAGTCCTTTACACGAGGAAATACGGTCGAAGTCTCCAGGCTCTCTCTCTCTCTCTCTCTCTCTCTCTCTCCACCACTTGCCTTCTACCTAGGATACTCAACATCATCTTTCTCTTGCATTAAAACTCCACCAGCTCCATAATCACTAGCATCTACATACAATTTAAACGGTTTATCATAATTTACAGTAAAAAGTATGGGTGCACTTATAAGTATCTGTTTCAATTCTTTAAACGTGTCATCACAATGAACACTCCACACAAATTTAACTTTCTTTGGCAACAGATTGGTTAATGGTAAAGCAATGGTTGAAAAGTTCTTACAAAACCTACGATAATATCCACTCATACCCAGAAATCTTAATAATTCTCTTCTATTTGTAGGTGCAAGAAATTTCACAGTACTTTCCACCTTAGCATTAATTGGTTTGACACTTCCCTGACCAACAATATAACCTAGATATTCTACAGCAAATTCACTCTTCACAAGGTTTACAGTCAAGTTTGCTTGATTCAGTTTGTTAAATACTTCTCTAATTAAATACAAATTTTCTTCCCAAGTTTTTTAATACAGTACAATATCATCTATACACACAGAACAACCTTTAACATCATACAATACTTGATTAACTAATCTTCGGAAAGTACTACCGCTGTTTTCATACCAAAGGGTAACACTTTATGCTGATATAAACCTTCCATAGTCACAAATGAAGACATTTCTTTTGCTCTTTTAGTCAGTGGTACTTCCCAATATCCTTTCAACAAATCCATCTTAGTTACAAATTTAGCATCTCCTATTTGGTCAGTACAATCATCCACTCTAGGAATAGGATATGAGTCAGCTTTGGTTACATTGCTGTATTTACTTTTCTGTAATCAGTACAAAATCTATATGAAATACCATCAGGTTTAGTCACCAATACACAGAGTGAACTCCAAGGGCTGTTACTTCTTTCAGTCATATCATTATCAACCATATACTGTACTTCTTGTCTCATTATCTCTCTCATCTTAGGAGTCACTCTATATGGGTGTTGCTTAATGGGTGTTGTATTCTCAGCCTCAACATCATGCTGTAATACCTCAGTTCTCCAAGGAACATCAGAAAACAAAGGCCTAAACTCGTGTATAATTTGTATGATTTGATTTCTCTTCTCAGTTCCTAAATGATCAAGTTTCTTTTCTAAATTATTCATCACACCTGAATTATTTAACAGTTTATTTTCACATCTCCCCAACTTCATATCTTCACTTTCATCTATCATCTTTTCATCATCAGACCTGACACATAGACAATTCACCTTGTTATTCATATCATTTTCTGTAGAGTTTCTATCATAATATGGTTTTATCATGTTTACATGCAAAGTTGTGTTTATGTGCTTATGTGCATTTTTCTAGGGGGGGGGGGGTCCATAGCTTTCACCAGATTCCCAAAGGGGTCCGTGACTCAAAAAAGGTTAAGAACCACTGCACTAGAGGATGTATAGTCAGTCCATAGGCTAACAACCTCCTGACAGCTGACAGGTGTTTATTTCAATACCACTGTTCCCATTAAAACTGGTTTGATCAAAACACAGCTTCAAAATTACAACAAAATATAATAAATATGTGTTCAAAAGGCCGCAAATCAATTCACTCAGAATAATGTTACCTCCACCAAACACAATACTCTCTCACTGCTATAATATTCTTTAGACTATAATGAACATATTGCACTTTAGTTAACACCACAATTATCCATGATTGCCTAGAAAATAATAGATAAATGTGCACCACACAAGTTTGACCCTCCTATCCTCAACCTAGCTACAGAGAGAGCCACCAGAACCAAAACAATGTTCCAATGCTTTCTTGTTTCATCAACATATAATTTCTAATTCCTTTTATGCTTCACAACTGCTTCTTACAGTCTTTCTTAACTGTATAAAAAATAAGAATACATTCTACAAAGTTTACATAATGAAACAAATACTAGTATACATACTTATATAAAATAATCAAGAACTTTTTCAAAGTCTTTACCATAGGCTTTGAAATTCGATTCTAAAGAAAAACGGGAAACAACAGAAACTAAATACAATAGGGGGACGACCGTAACATTATGTTATGTTAGGCTAGGTTAGGTTAGGTTAGGTTAGGTTAGGTTAGGTTAGGTTAGGTTAGGTCCCAGTGATAATTAGTTAACATTGTCTTAGTTTAGATACTTATCTTTTGTGTAATTCTTTTGGTTTGCTAGATGTATTACCTACGCTCACTATATATATTTAATAGGTTGTTACCTACGCTCACTGTATATATTCATTAGGTTTAGTGAAATATAGATAAAGAGTAATAGTTTTGGATATTATTGACTATACATTGATATGTATAATATGTATTAAAGTAAGGTATATCATAGGAGTGAAAGGAAGATATTGTTTGTTATTGTAATGAAATGTTAATGGTGGTGTTTACTTTCTTATGTGAAGTTCATTTTGGTACATTTTAAGTGGCTATTTGAGAACGACTAGTTTTAGTAAGAAAAGTCCTGTTATTTATAAAAAATAAAAATAAACATTATTTTATTTTATTTTTTACATTTTTTATTTTTTTTTATTTTTTTTTCTATTTATTTATTTTTTTTTCTTTTATTTTTTTTTTTGCCTCACTCGGCCTCTTCTTCGTTTGGGACGGCTCTTGGGTATTTATTTAAGGCCGCTATCCCCCCAAACGTGCTTATAAGCATTTGGGTATTATTTGTTGTGTTGGGTATCGCCATTAACTCAGTCCCCTCGGGACAGTTTTCTGTAAAATAGGCGAGTTCAGGGGACTCGTCCCATAGCACGACAACTTTGACGGCACCATCCTCCATGGCCGCTCGAACTTCATCACCAAAGCAGACCATGTCCGGTTCATCGACCCTGAGTTTTTCAAATATGGAACTGAGGACAGTGTTAGACTTTTCCAAAAGCATGTGCTGGCGGAGGTCCCGTGTGCCATTGATGGCCTCCCTCAGACCTTGACGGCCGGAGTATGAGGTGTTTATTACAGATCTTACAGCACTCTTCAAGAGCTGAGGGAGACGCTCAACCAATTGGTCCTTCAGCTGACCAGGACCCCCTACCACCAGGGCCTGAACCTGCACGGTCGCCTTATTTTCATTCAGAAAATAATCTTCGCTGAGAGCAATTACTTTCTTCACCAGCAATTGTCTCTTTTCCAGGCGGATGCGCTGGAACCTGGGAGCGGACTGGCCACCTCTGCCGTGCTTTTTTGGAATGTCCACGTTCTCATGGTGGTGGACTTTTAGTCCATTTTCAGAGAGCGTTCCAAGGGCAACCGCTGACCCATCGATGACGATGTAGCCAACGCCTCCCTCTTGGGAGATGAGTAATTGGTGCAGTGAGTGCGTGGAGAATGTCTTGCTGACATCGTATTTAAATTCTTGAACTGGTTGAGGAGGTGTTAACGTCCGGCGAAGGCGACTCACCTCGCCGGTTGCTTTGTTGAGAACTGATTGGCCGTAAAACACTAAAAGCCCATGGGGTGGCATGGCATTGACTGTGGATAACATATCCACAGCGCTCTTCAGTGCTTCTTGCACTGAAGAGCGGTTGGAAACGGACTTTATGTTGGCCGCGCGGCTTTGTTCATCCTTGATTCTATTTTTGACGAGTATCAGGGAGGAAGATGATGGGAGGTGAAGGCTTAATACAGACGAAGTCCGGAGAGCCTCCAGATTCTCCAACTCCTTGAGAGCGTCTCTGAATTGGACAAGTTGAACCCGATCCATTTTGAAAGTAATAATAATATTAATATCTGGTCCGTCTGGTGACCTAAAGTTGAAATTTAGGGAGA